CCCCCCCCCTTTGGAACTGTTTGGTCTGGTGTTGTCTGTTCTAAGCTTCACGCTTAAGTCTAACACTCTGTTAAGAGAAGTAATTTCTAAAAGTTTTAAGAAAAATCAAAATGCCAGATGTTTTACTTGTGGTAAGCAAGGTCATTTGAAAAGGGATTGTAGACAAAGCATACCTAGAAACAATGATTTTTCAAGAAATAGTACAAAAAGAAGACCTCAGCTTCTGGAGTATGCAAAAGATGTGGCAAAAGCTGGCATTGGAGTAATGAATGCAGATCAACAAGGGACAGGCAAGGTAATCCTTAGCCATTGGAAAATGCCTTGTGGGCGAGGGGTTCCCATAGGCCCTAATATCAAATTTGATTGAGTCATTCCCTGTCAGATTTGAAGAAACCCATCCACAGAGCAATTTAAAAATGTAATACCTGTTGTTAAAAGGAGCACTGCTCTGGATGAAATCAAGGACAGAACAGCTTCAGTAGATAAAACAAGAAATTCAGATAACCAGACCAGAAAACAAGTATTTTGGCAAACTGCTATAAATGATCAGACTACAACTAGAGGTGCAAATAAATTGCATTGAAATTGAAGGTTTAGTTGACACAGAAACATTAACAATAATTTCACGAAAATCTTGGCATCCACATTGGACTCTTCAGGAGCTAAGTAGTCTGCTAAGTATTTCTCTCAGGTAAAACAAAGTGCAAGTTGGGTTGAGTGTATTGGGCCAGAGGACAAATAGGAAAATTAAAGTCATATGTGGCTAAAATAGTCTTGAATTTATAGGGATTTGATTTGCTGTGGCAGTGGAAAACATAGATTAACATTCCTCCAATCTCAGAAACAAACCATAAAGTTAATAATGCTTCTGAAAATATATTAAAATGTATTATCAAGAACAGTCACAGACCATTTTAGGTTGTCCATACGGAGGACACAATAGCTATTGGTTTTTCAAAGGTACTAACCGCCCTACGTTTAAAATGATTAACTGACAAAACTGTGTGGGTGGAACAATGGCCTTTGACATCAGAACAATTACAGGCACTAAGACAGCTGTCACAAAGGGGGAGGGTTGGAGGCTAGAGACTTCCCCATGTCTGGTATACTTGGTTTATTCTCTCCGAGCATGCATAAATAACATTATATTGGATAGGTAAAATCTGAAATATTGGATAAGTGGCTAGAAAGGTTGTAATATAGAAAATCTTGTAATAAAATGAAATTGTTAAAAAATGAAATTAAACTAGGCAGTGGTGGCGCACGCCTTTAAAACCAGCCCTTGGGAGGCAGAGGCAGGCGGATTTCTGAGATTTCTGAGTTCGAGGCCAGCCTGGTCTACAGAGTGAGTTCCAGGACAGCCAGGGCTACACAGAGAAACCCTGTCTCGAAAAACCTAAAATAATAAGAATAATAAATGAAACTAATAGCAGCAAAAGTATACAAAGAGTCGATCCAGAGGAAGTGAACAGAGGATTGTTATGGATAGAGACACACAGGAAGTAGAAGGTGAGGGACATTCAGTTTGAAAGCTTGAGACTTCCTGAAAGAGGGGCATTACTTCTAGGATGTCAGCTGAGGAGGAAGGTCAGCTGGGTACTTTTTCTGCCTCTCTGAGCTAGAGCAGGCTTTCACCTCAATATCTGGCTCCTAAGTCTTCACTGGTAAAATTGAATGATTGAGATTTTGTTTTAAAAAACAACAAATACCTTCAAATTTCTGAAGGAAAATTATTTTTGGCTTTATTGTATTTTTTCCAACTAGTGTGTGTGTGTGTGTGTGTGTGTGTGTGTGTGTGTGTGTGTGTATACTTGCGTGGAGGTGTTGGGGAGTACACAAGTGCCAGCATGCCTGTGGAAGTCTTGCAGGAGGTCTCCTTCCACCATGTAGATCCTGGGGATCAAACTCAGACTGTCAGGCCTGGCCTTACACTGAGGCCACTGCACTAACCTCAACCTTAATCATATTCTAGACATACAGCTCAAAGAACCTGGGCCTTAGTGGTATAAATCATGCCTACATCCATAAGACCCAATAAACAAACAAACAAACAAATTCCTTTCTTTCTAGATGTGGCGGCATAAACCTGTGATCCTTGGTTTAAGATCAGCCTGAGCTACCTGCAATCTCAGCCACAGAGACCCTGTCTCAGAAAACCAAAACCCAAAATACATTTTTCATTCTTGCTTTCAAGGAGACCTGTCCAAGGATGCAATTCGCCTTACTAAAATAGGAATAAAGTGTCCAAGAAAACAGACCCAGCTTGAAGGAGAAGTAAAGGGAATTCTGGGGATGCAGAGACGTCCCAGATGACAGCTGGTTAGATAGGGGCACCAAGCAGTGCTCACCGGAGCAAAGGAAGGGAAAGGTCTAAGAACAAGCAAAGCTGGATTACCTAATAGACTGGACTGGGTGAACAAAATGTGTCCTGAAAAACTACTGTATAGTATGCAAAGGATTATTGGTGGTTACATTTAAAAAAAATAAAAACAACCAAACGAAGAAAAAAATATTGCAAAAGAAACAAGTAATATACCAAGCTTAGCAGTATACATTGAGAGTTAAAATACTGTCAGTATTAAGTACTCTCTATTTAACAAGCATAGTTTCAATATGTTAAGAAAGTAAAAGTGGGAAGTCAATAGGCAACATCTAGAATGTGTAAATCAAGAAATAAGATAGGTATCACATGCCTGTAACCCCAGCCACTCCAAGAGTGTACAGGCAGGAGAGTAGAAAATTCAAGGTCATCTTGGAATCTTCATTTTTAATACTAGGGCTGGAGAAACAGCTCAACAGTTAAGAAGGCTTGCTGCTCTTACAGAGTTCAGTTTCCAGCATCTCAGCAGGTAGATCACAGATTCCAGTGACTCTAATTCCAAGGGACTGACACCCTTTTCTGATCACCTCAGTTACCAATAATCTGTGCTGGTAAAAATAAACCTTGAAAAGTTTTAATGCATTTTAGTTATGCATAGACATTACTTGGAAAAAAAGATTAAATGAAGGATATAAACTGAAAACATAACTGCTACTGATTGTTTTCTTCCTATAATCAAACATTTGGTTATGATGTAATGAGAAAAAGTCTAGAGAGGTAGATGTCAGATTATGAAGGGTATTATGTTGAGAGTATATGAAAGTCATATTGGGTAATGTGAAGAGGTTTCTGAGCAGAAGAGGTGACTGAAATGGGTCTTGAAATGCAGGCATGTAGTCCTAGAACTCAGAAGCCGGAGGCAGGAGAATTGCCAGGAGTTTCAAAGCCACCCCTGACATACATTATTACAGCTGAGAAGCTGAACCATCAACTGACTATACCTAATTTTGACATCTACTGTCCCAATCAATCATGCATGCTTGTACCGTCTTTTTTTTTCTTTCAATACTTGGGGGGTAGTGGGTGGAGGTCGGGACAGGGTTTCTCTGTGTAGCCCTGGCTGTCCTGGAACTTGCTCTGTAGACTTCCTGGCCTCCAACTCAGAGACCTGCCTGCCTCCCCAATGTTTGGACTAAAGTCATGTTCTACCACACCTGGCTGCTTGCACTCTTCCTTAACTCAATTTTTTCTTTCTTTTTTCTTTTTTTTTTTTTTTTTTTGGTTTTTCGAGACAGGGTTTCTCTGTGTAGCCCTGGCTGTCCTGGAACTCACTCTGTAGACCAGGCTAGCCTCGAACTCAGAGATCCGCCTGCCTCTGCCTCCCAAGTGCTGGGATTAAAGGCGTGTGCCACCACCGCCCGGCTAATTTTTTCTTTTTCTTTCTTTTTTTCTTTTCTCCTTCTTCTCTCCTCCTCCTCCTTCTCCTCCCCTTCTTCTTCCTTCTTCTTCTTCTTCTTCTTCTTCTTCTTCTTCTTCTTCTTCTTCTTCTTCTTCTTCTTTCTTCTTCCTCCTCCTCCTCCTTCTTCCTCTCTCTCTCTCTCTCTC